ATTGCACTTTTTGGATTCATTTAGCTATGACACTTGTGATTAACAAAGCAGATGATGAAGATATTTGCAATGCAAATTTGATACACATTTATATGTAGGTAATGGATTTAAATGCTGACATATTCAGTGTAATGCAACTTTATGCAGATTTAAGTGCTTAAGAAGTAATTAAGTACAGTTTTCTATAAAAATAATTAAAGGATCTGGAATGCCTTTACTATCAATGGATTCATCTGGGAATCAAATTTGAACTGGGTGTGCCCTTTACACTAGTAACTTTATTTTCAAAGACTTGGAAGATAAAGCTGCTTTATTTGAACATTTAACATGAATTTCAAAGAAAACCTAAGCTTTTTATATCTAACATGAACACCTGATGGCTACGTATTGTTCCATTTCTCTTTTTAGCAGTTGATCAAAAGATGAGTTCAAACAAAATTTCTAAGACCATTCAACCTTGTGCTTGCATATGGGTTTGCAGTCTGTCTGTGATTCCAAGTGTAAAGAATCATAGAATCATAGAATGGTTTGGGTTGGAAGAGACCTTCAAAGGTTTAGTCTAACACCCCTGCAATGAGCAGGGACATCATCTAGACTAGGGTGCTCGCAACCACACCCAGCCTGGCCTTGAATGTCTCCAGCGATGGCACATCCACCACCTCTCTGGGCAACTTGTTCCAGTATTTTACCATGTTTATTGTAAAAGATTTCTTCCTCATGTCCAGCCTAAATCTCTGCTCTTTTACATTAAAACCATCACTGCTCATCCTATCATGACAAGCACTGGTGAAAAGTCTCTCCCCATCTTTCTGATACACCCTTTATAGTATTGAAATGCCTCAATAAGATCTCCCTGTATTCTTCTCTTCTCCAGGCTGAACAATCCCAATTCTCTCAGCCTTTCCTCATAGAAGAGGTATAGCTAGGCTGAGCTGCTCCTGGGATGTTTGGGATTTTATTGGCACAAACCTCAGTTTCTGGTGATGTGATTTACCACTTCAGACTCACCCGAATATGTTTGAGTCTGTGACACTAAAATTTGTGAATTAGATGCAGAAACAAATTTCTCATGAGAAAATAATCTGCAAGAGTGTGGTTAAACTTCTGCCTTTAAACAGAACAGAAGAATTATTTCTTTATTGTGGATTCTGGTGGAGAAAACCCCTTGAAGATGACTACTAGGTATTTTACCTGTGTATGTGAGGAATGCATTTGGCTAAGTAAACTGTATGGGTGCATTTGTGCCTGCTAAGGGAGACAGAGGCTTTTCTTCTTTTTCCCCTATTCAAAACCTGTGATGCTCAAAACTGACTTCTTGGTAGCTGCAGTTTGGAGATGTAAGTAAAAAAATGAAGTTTTAAGGGCTTTAATGAAAAACTGCAGTTGAACTTTGAAAATAAACTGCTGTTCATGAGGTTTTTTGTGGGTAACAGGAAGAGCTCATCTTGAGGGGAGTGATGGAGGAGCTTACACAGATATCTACTGCCCAAGGCTGCATCTTATACCCCCAGTATGCTGCTGCAGCAGTGTCCCTGTCCCATTTGGATTATATGCACATAGACCTGTCTCAGGTTACCCCAACTGTCTAAGGTGACTCTTGGAACTTATTTAGATGGTTTGACATGACCTTCCTGAGTGAGATGGGTGAGGAGAGGATGCTAACAAACATGTAATGCAGCAAAGACACTTGAGGAAAGGAAACCTCTACACACACTGTGTGATGGATGACCAAGAGGAAGCAAGGTGTACATAATTGCTACTGACTGTACTTTTCTCTCAGAAGAAAAGGCCTGATGTGGGTGTCACCTGATGTGGGTGGGCCAGGGATTACTAAAACACTGTGTTGGGTCTTCATGTGCTGAAGCTCTGTTTTTATTGGGGAGTGGAGGCTGTGAACTTGCTTTAGTGATGTTATGTTCACATTCCTTGAGGTACAACTGCCAGGAAATTCAGTCCTGCTGTGTTTGTTAACAACAACTGATTAAATATTGTGGTTAAATATCTAGTTTAATATCCTGATGCTATCATATATAAACTTAGCTAGAGGTATTAAAGATAACAGGAAGGGATTCTACAGGTACATAGCAAATAAAAAACAGACTAGGGAGAATGTAGGCCCCCTCAGAAAGCCCTCAGGAGAACTGGCTACACAGGATTTGGAGAAGGCTGAGGTTCTGAATGACTTCTCTGCTTCGGTCTTCACTGGCAAAGGCTCACCGCACCACCCAAGTCTTGGAAGGCAGATGCAGGGACTGTGAGAATGAAGATGCTAGGTCCACTGTAGGAGATGAACTGATTTGAGACCATCTTAAAAATCTGAACGTGCACAAGTCCATGGGTCCTGATGAAATCCATCTGTGGGTCCTGAAGGAGCTGGCGAATGAAGTTGCGAAGCCGCTGGCCACCATATTTGAGAAATCATGGCAGTCAGGTGAAGTTCCCGATGACTGGAAAAGGGGAAATATAACCCCCATTTTCAAGAAGGGGAAAATGGATGACCTGGGGAGTTACAGCCCAGTCAGTCTCACCTCTGCGCCTGGCAAAATCTTGGAGCAGATTCTCCTGGAAGGCATGCTAAGGCACATGAAAATCAACAAGGTGCTTGGTGACAGCCAGCATGGCTTCACTAAGGGGAAATCCTGCCTGACCAATTTGGTGGCCTTCTATGATGGGGCTACAGAACTGATGGACAGGGGTAGAGCAGCTGATGTCATCTACCTGGACTTGTGCAAAGAGTTCGACACTGTCCCACACGACATCCTTGTCTCTAAATTGGAGCAACATCAATTGATGGTTGGACCACTCGGTGGATAAAGAACTGGCTGGATGGCTGCACGCAAAGATTTGTGGTCAATGGCTCAGTGTCCAGCTGGAGACCAGTAACGAGTGGCGTCCCTCAGGGATTGGTGTTGGGACCGGTCTTGTTCAACATCTTCATCGCTGACATGGACAGTGGGATTGAGTGCACCCTCAGCAGGTTTGTCGATGACACCAAGCTGTGTGGTTCGGTTGATACGCTGGAGGGAAGGAATGCCATCCAGAGGGACCTTGACACGCTTGTGAGGTGGGCTGATGCCAACCTCATGAAGTTTAACCATGCCAAGTGCAAGGTCCTACACCTGGGTGGGAGCAATCCCAGGCACAGCTACAGGTTGGGCAGAGAAGAGATTCAGAGCAGCCCTGTGGAGAAGGACTTGGGGGTGTTGGTTGATGAGAAAATGAACATGAGCCGGCTTCAGTGTGCGCTTGCAGCCCAGAAAGCCAACCGTATCCTGGGCTGCATCAAAAGGAGCGTGACCAGCAGGTCGAAGGAGGTGATCCTGCCCCTCTACTCTGCTCTTGTGAGACATCACTTGGAGTATTGTGTGCAGTTCTGGTGTCCTCAACATAAAAAGGACATGGAACTGTTGGAACAAGTCCAGAGAAGGGCCACGAGGATGATCAGGGGACTGGAGCACCTCCTGTATGAAGACAGGCTGAGGAAGTTGGGGCTGTTCAGCCTGGAGAAGAGAAGGCTGCGTGGAGACCTCATAGCAGCCTTCCAGTATCTGAAGGGGGCCTATAGGGATGCTGGGGAGGGACTCTTCATTAGGGACTGTAGTGATAGGACAAGGGGTAATGGGTTAAAACTTAAACAGGGGAAGTTTAGGTTGGATATAAGAAGGAAATTCTTTCCTGTGAGGGTGGTGAGGCACTGGAATGGGTTGCCCAGGGAGGTTGTGAATGCTCCATCCCTGGCAGTGTTCAAGGCCAGGTTGGACGAGGCCTTGGGTAATATGACTTAGCGTTAGGTGCCCTGCCCAGGGGGGTTGGAACTAGATGATCTTAAGGTCCTTTCCAACCCTAACGATTCTATGATTCTATGATTCTATATACTTTAATATTTTGTGCTTGCAGGACAAAATGACTTTGGAAATAAGTGTGAATAGCTGAGAATTTGCTATGGATGTGAAATAAATGTTCAAACCCTTCAGTTTGTTTTGTTTTTTTTTTAATGATTGCATCACTGTTTCTTTTTCATATTAAAGTGAATGAATGCATTTCCCTATTGCCTGGGAAAACCAGCTTCAGTATTTTTATAATGTTCTTTTCTGATTCAGTCTTTGTTTTTACATTATGCTTTGGGCTTTGCTAGATAATAAACAAAGTAGGTCTGATTCCTTGGGAAATAAAATACACAAAACTGACTCAGTGCTGACTTCCAAGATTTGCGTATAAGAAGTTTCCTGAAGCAAATCAATATTTCAAAAGCTGTTCCCAAAATGTATATTCATCTCTGAGATGAAAAGATCCCATAGCAAATGATCCACCACTAAGATACAGCCATGGGAATATATTTATGGCAAAAATGATAGCTTAGCAAAACATTTCATTATAACAGAAAGAGGAATCAGACAGATTTTGAGCCAAAAAAAAATGCATTCGGTCATCAGTCTTGATATGCAGACACAAAGGTCTGTGTAAGGGACATTAAGGCTGAATGAATTTATGGTAAAAATGTTACAGGTTTTCTGCAAATCAATGTGAGGACTCATGAAGTCAGAAATGGGAGCTTGATTGTGTCCTTCTGACTGTAACCATCCTTTTGCAAAAGGCACAAGAGGTCTTTTCAGGGGAGTTCTACATTATCTTTGAAAACTGGGGCAGAGCCGACCCACCAAATAAACTATTCCTTTCCTTTGTGTGTGGTATGGAAATGCTCTCTGACTTACACGATTTGCTTTCCCAGTTGAGTCTCAGAGTCTGAGACTAACTTGACATTTTTTGATTACTTTAGGAAACAAAGAGCAAAAGAAAACAAGAAATGCCCTGATAAGGGTAGGGCATTTTCAGCTGAAAAGGCCTGTCAGTGCTCCTTACGTTCAGTTGCCACTCATAGAAAATGTTCCAGCTGTCAGTGAGGACAAACAAAAAATATTCAAAAGCACAAAGATTCCGTTTTTAGCAACAAGGAACAGAACTGGCTAGGGAAAGGGTTGTGATGGCAGTATTAACAGAGTCTGCAACAGAGTTTGTTCAATTCCAGAGATCAGAATGGACTGAAACCACTGTGTCCTCAGTGACAATATAGCCAAGTGCATTATTTTTAAAACATTTAAAGGAAAAAGAGAAAACACTACATGGAACTCCGCTGTCTGTTCCAGAAGAAAAGTGGAAAATAAAAAGTTACTTGAGATTCTCATCCCTGCATTTCCAGCCCTTTAAAATGACTGAGTTAATTTTACCATTAAGCTTTTTATCCTTTTATCTAGTCATTTGTTTGTGCCTCCGAAAAGGCTTTTTGCTTTAATGTGTCATCACCTCAGTAGTGTGAAATTCTGAGGCATTATAGAGCTTTACCGTGCTTTTACATTCTGTTACCAGCCAGTTCAAGTAGTGAGCCCAGCAGTGTGTGTGTGCTGGTGCAGAGACTCTGTATCAAAGTGATGCTGCTCTTCAAAGACCCTCCTTCATGTGAGCCCTGCATAGCAGGACAAATCTTGCTGGTAAGATGAATTTTAAGAAGAAGTGTAATTTTAATCAAGGGTTCTGTATCTGTGTGTTATCTAGGAATGCTCTCTGCTTGAGTTTTAGTGATTGCTGCAGTGACAAAAGAAGCAAAGCTAGAGAATCTGGATACAGCTCTCTGCTCTGAAGAGGGAACTGGCACAATTACCCCAAGATGTTTGAACTAGTTATTGTTCATCCTAATGCATGTACATTTCCCTTACCTCAGTAATTTCCAGGCAAATACTACCTGTGTATCAATCACTAGAGATGAATTTTGCACACAAGTCCCTTCAGCATTCCTTTTTTTAATTTATTTTATTTTAACAGCTCTTCATTTAAACACCACCAGAAAGAGCTCAAAGCAGTGTAACTGACAAACCCGACACCTTTGTGTAAAAAAGCACTGCAAAAATAGAAACCACAAACCCAACAAGTTCTGTTCCCTGCACCAGCGTCAGTCAAACTGAGTAATACATTAGGCTTGCTAAGTCTCTGCTGCCCATTTCTGCTATGGACCTTAATCTGTGGTCTTTGTCTCAGTTACCAAGAAGTAGTCCCTGATTGCCAAATAACAAAGATGATGAGTACATTAGTGTTTCAGCGTCGGTATGATGGATGGGTAACTGACAGAATGATAAGCAATGTCTATTCATTCAGAGTTTCCACTGTAATGCCAGATGGTGCTGGGAGATAGAAAATAATCTCTAGACCCCAACAAACATTGCCTTGAATACAGTCACATTCATTCTGAATTTAGCAAAAATTGGTGACATAATCTCCACATATTGAATAAAAATGTACTCTCAACTAAGTACTTTCGGCGAGGCCAAGTTTCACAGGTTAGCCTGAGACCTGGTCTCTGACTGGCCCATCGAGGACACCAAGTGCAAGCTCTTCTTACACCAACCTGCTGGCTTCTGCAGCCACTCAAGGGAAAATGTGGGGAAGACCAATGCTGGTGCTAGTGCTCCTGCCTGCAGCCTCAGAGCTGAGGACACACAATTGCAGGATGCCTTTGCCAGGTTCTGAAGGAGGAGCATGCTCCTTCCCTCATCTGAACATGTCCTCGAGGACTTGGTTGATCTTGGTTGCCTGACAGATGGCTCCCCCTCCTTATACTCTCCCTCCTCACACTCTCCCCATGCTCCAGCATGGTCTCTCCAGAGGCTGCAGGGGATCCGTACTGGGATGTCTAAAGCACCTTCTCTCCTTCTCTTCCCTTGCTGCTCCTCAGGCTCTTTCTCACACATTTCCCCTCATCTCTCACTGCCAGGTAGAATTTTGCCCTCACTTACAGTGATTTTCCCCAGGTGCCACAATCGTGTCTGTGAGGCTCAGCCATGCCCTGTGGTAGGTCTGTTGGGGACAAAGCTGCAGCTGGGTTATGTGGCAGCACCAAGTCAGATCCAGCCTTGGGCACCGGCAGCCAGACCCTATGGGGAGTGGAAGAGGTTGCAGAGCCTCTTAGTGCACTGCCCTGACATTTCCTGTCCATAACAGTCTAACCCAGGTGCCTTGTGTTTGGGCCTGAAGATCTCTTGGTGTCCTCCTGCACTCTGGCTCAGCCACAGCCGGCCACAATGGGACCATTGAGGGGTGCTGCAACTGGTGGAAGGCTCTGATGAGATGACCAGCTTACACTGTGTATGCACGCATCCACTTTTCACACTCTGTCCCCTCTGCCTGCTAGCAGAGGGACTGGGTGGGTTTCCAGACGTCTGTGCTGCTGTGCTGGGACATGCCTCCATTCCAACAGAGTTTTCCTCCACTTTCCAAGTCTGCTTTTGTCCAAGCTTCTTCAAGCAGGAAAATGCAGTGGTTATTAAAGTAATTATCAAGAAACGGGGTTTGTGAAGTAAGCAGCTCTATTTGTCAACGGATATATACCAGGCAATGAAGGTTAACACAGGCAATAAAAAAGCACTGACCTGTCTTGGAGCAGAGCAGCAGTGACTTCCTCTCCCTGGGCTCACCTCACCCATTACCTGGTTTGTGTGCCACCCAAAGAACTGTTTGACACCCTACAGTTTGGGAACAGTCCCCTGTCAAGAGCTAATTACATGCTAATCTTTCTTTGAGTGGGGCCTGTGACAAATTATCTTTCAAGAGAGATTGAGCATTCCTGTGTAACACACTGTTTGTAAACCCGTGGCTCACCAGGCCTTATGGCGCCAGCATATCATTTCATGCCAATACCATTTTACATGGAGAGCCAAAACACTCTTAAAACCTTTCAGGGTGAAGTAAATATATACGGATGCGAGACTTCAGAGCTAAATGTTCAAGCTGTTTTAGTAGACTCATGAGTTAGGAGTAAAGAGGGTAGTGTTCAAAGTTTGTTGAAACCAATGGAAAGCTTCCTGTTATGACCAATAAATCTTTTAACCATCAGACATGTCAGCATCAGTTATTCAGGATCAGCTGTCAGTGGTCCTGGAGATGCTTGTTCAGTTGCTCAGAGTTTCAAGTAGGGATGGGTAACACCCTGCAACTACCTGCTGAAATTCAGTGTGGGTTGCTCTTTCTCCTTTGGCATTTCTGGAACAACCCTCCCAACTCCTCATGCATGCACATGTGCTTGCGTAGAGTAGTAAAGCCAGGATGGCCATGTACACTGAAACTATTTCCCATAATTTAAAAAGTGCTTCCAGGTTACACAATCTGCTTTATCATTGGCAGGCAGAACAGTGCTAAACATGCAGATTTTCTGAAGATTAGATGGACATAATCAAGCACAGTTTACTCACTCTGTATCTACGGCCCTAATTAGCAGCTGAAAATCCACCCTCCCTTTAAGATACATTGGGGGATCTTTTTTTAAACTAAGTTGTCCTATCAGCAGGGGAGTTAATAAATCCAAGGTTCATCCAGGTTGGCTTACTGTTCCCCTTCTGGCACCTTGCACTGCGGGGCAGCTGGACATAGGCAGTTCAAGCTGCCAGACATCCTCTCCAGTGGGTAGGAGATACGGATGCAGGGCTGGGAACAGCCATCCCCCAGCAGAGATCTGCTGCACGTGCCTCTTCCTCCAGAGCAACTTTTTTCTTTTTTTTTTTTTTGACTGTTTTTAAGCATTTCCCCTGGAATCTGTAGTAAATGATTTATCTTTGAGGCTTTGACCCTGTGTCAAATGGGATGAAAATTGGCTGACAGGTACTGGAGTTACTGAGGGAGCTGGACAGACAGACAGAATAACTGCAGAAGATTAATTTTCATGAGAAGGAGAGATGAAAAGGTTTTCTAAATGAGGTTTGACACTACCATATTTTCCTATGTTATATTTATGTGGTAAAATACACAGCTCCTCGCACTTCTATAAGAATAGTCTTAGTTAATTTAAACCTCCAGACCAGAAAACAACAAAAAATAATGTTTTTCACAGGATCTAGATTAGTTATTGGTGTGTTTTTTTTCCTTTTTTAAATGATTTAACAAGAATAGATCCTTTTTTAATGCCAGAGTATTGTGGAAATCTTTCCCACAGCATGAGGTGAAACTCTCACATATAGAGTGAGATTTATCTTCCCATCACATTTTAAATAATATGTCAGTATATTTATTATTAAACTTTCATTTTACATTGTATGTCTGTGAGTGTATGCAGTGGGTTGCATAAAAAATCAGTTGGCAGCAGCAGAACAAAATAGTGGTAACCACATGCTGGAATGTTGGAATAATGTCATGGTTTTGATTATGCAGCTTGCTTTACCAGCAGAGCATTGCTGCTCCAGGAAATCAATAATAGCACTTTAAAATGTAATTACTAATATTCTATGTGAAGAGAAGCATATACAGAAATAGAAATGGACAGGCTGTTGTTTTATTTGGCATGATCTCTTCAGGAAAAGAAAGAATAAAAAATCATGCCTTTATGAAAGCCATGAGGCTGATGATTTATGTTAGACTTGATGACCTAGTACCATCAAAGAAGGAAGAAAATAGAAAGATCGAATTATTAGCTGTGTTAATAACTAAAAATTCAGTTGGGCTAAAGACTTTATTAAAGTGATTCTACAAGAGCTAAAATACTGGGTTGATGCTTCTCTAGAATGTTTACTTTTTTCCTCAATTCTGTACAAAATTATTAACAGATCTTTAATTAAAGAGGAAAGTTAGCTGACCTTGGGGAAGGGCAGAAAAGCCAATCTCTTTTAAATGTTCATAACATTCTACATAATAGTTTACCTATGAAAAGCTCTTTTATAACAGACAAATATTAAATTTTACTAAGACATAATTGGTTTATTTTTCCAGCTAATTACAAGAACGGGGAATCTGTGTGTAGTTGTATGTATTCAAATTTCTTTTTTTTTGTCCAGAAGCCTGCTTAGCATTAGCAGTAATGCAATAATGCAATTTCTAGCTACTAGAAGTTTATTGAGGTCTAAATCAATCAATCTTAACAATGACTGAAAACCAACTTTCAGCATTCAACTTGAGTTCTTGCTAAGAAAAGATTAGTTTCCTGATACTTTTCTAGCTAACAGCCCACACCATTTTTATTTAAACATTTAAATATTATTTTTTTATATTTACTATTTGCAATAAGGTTTAATACATCTTGTCTCCCTGTTGTCAAATCATAAATCTTAGTCCGGCAAATTCCCAGAGCAACTGTTTATTTAGGAAAACCAAGTATTCTTAGATTACTCTGCATTTTTATTTGTGACAGTCTGGGTGATCAGATTAGTTGCACAGAGCAATTTATTTCTGCACAGCATCCTCTAACAGAATATTGGAGGATGCTTTAGACTTTACTGAAATCCGTACATAAAAATAACAGAGTTTGAAGGCTGGATATGTGATACAGATAGAAGCAATCATTATGAGTGGGTAAGGACAGAGAAAGGCAAAAACCTATTCTGAAAGGATCAGAGGGAAGCTGGAAGGTTTTGAGAGCACAGAAAAACAATAGTGGTAGCATTGGAAATACTGTAATAAGAATTACAGTACTTGCACCTGAAATGTCAACACATACATGTTGTTTTCTAGCAACTAGCAGCCAGGTTCGGAAGCACTGCAAGAATCTCAACGAGAAGAGTCCGTGTTTGGAAACATGACCATCCAGTCCACATCAGAAGTAAGACTATTAGAAATTAGTGCTTAGTCATTGACTTGTGTCTTTCAGTCACTCTTAGCGTATTACGTAATTTCTGTGAGACAAAGAAGATACATGATTCCAGTTTTGTAGATGGAGGAATTTTAAGGCCCTGGTTACACAATGCATACAAGCACATGCTTGCCTTTGCTAACTTCTTGCATGCCTGACTAAACTGATGCCCTGGTGATTTTTTAGGTTTCAGCAGCTAGGAAGCATAGCAGTGTTAGCACTTCCAGGGCCAAATTTCTCACATGCACCCTATCAGGTCCATCAGACCAGTGAAGCCTGAACATTGTGTACCATGCAGAGGATGAAGCTAAGAAATATCTAATTCTCAGCTAGAATATCAGACCACTTGGCTGTGATCATAATAGCTAACTAGGAAGAATAAACAGTGTGAAAAGCAAAGGTGTGAGAAGACAACTGTTTTCAACAACGAGATAAGCTAATAGGATCCAAGAAAAGTTTTCTTGGTGGCTGGGAAGC